AAGCAATGCATTTGCCTCTGAGTATGGCTTTGACTGCCTTCTGCAAGTTGTGACATGTAATACAATGGAGGTTATTTTCCCAGCTGTCTGCTCCCACCCAAGTACTGATATGGGGACTTTTCTTTCCATACTCATTGTCCATCACTGCCTCCACCCTCTGACCTGTGGGGCTTCTGAGTATTCTGAGGAGAAGGTGGATAGGGAAGGGAAAGTTGGATAGGGAGTGAAAAGTCCCTAGGCAGACATCCTTCCACTAGAAAATTCATGGATTATGTCCTGGCATCTGCTGATGGAAGGTTCTTACTCCACAGTAATGAGAAAAAGAGCCGCTCAAGCTAGGGTCACCAACTTGGCCCAGTTTGCCTGGGACTACTATCTGGTTTTAGAACTGAAAATCTCTCCTCCTAGGGATCCCCTCTGTCCTGGGCAAGCCAGGACAGTTGGTCAATCTAACAGTAGCTCTGCCGCCTGGGTAAGCTGGTGGCCTTCTCCTGAATGGTGGCTATCCTCGGGCATTGGATGAACTTCCATGTGATGGATCATGTCCATGTAACTCTCCAAGGACTGGCCCAAATGTCCTCCCAATGCCAACCTCTAGTCCTTCCCCCTTCCCTCTTCCATTCTGAGCCCAATCTTGAAGGTCACAGCCCCTTTTCTCTGCACCTCATCCAGCCCAAGGGGCCTTCCTGCAGTAGATGGGGCATCCGTCTCTATTCTTTCTCCAATTCTAAGAACTCTCAGCCCTTAGAGGCAACCTGAATTCCTTGTCACGAGGAAAGCTAGCAATGGCACGTCAAATGCTTCTTGTGCTTCGAATCTCTCTGACTGCCCCTTTTGCTACAAGCCAGAGAAAATTCTCTGTTTTTAAAGGGCTCATGTGATTAACTCAGCCCACTGAGATAATCTTCTTTTCGATGAACTTAAAGTCAACTGATTAGTAAACGTATCACATCTTTTGCCATGTAACGCAACATCATCATGGGCACTATATCTCATCATAATCCCAGACTCTGGGATTAAGGCAGGACCTGCAGGGGGGCCATTAGGGATTCTGTCCACCACACCTCCCTTCCTTCTGAGGCCCTCCTCACCTACCTTGCCTCCCCTGGGTTTTTTCCCATCAGCACCTTCCTTCCTCACAGCCTCCTGTCCTCTTGCCGCACTCAGTGTCCCCCCATTAGACTGGGGCTCCCAGCAGCAGGAAGTGAATGGTTAACCCTGTACACTTCACTCCATGAAGTCCAGGCTCTGCCTCCCTGGATGCTGAGAAATGCTGAGCTCTGAGCCCGATGGGCCTGGGTTCGCATCCCAGCTTGACCAGCTGTGTGACTTTGGCCAAGCACTTCCTTCTCTACCTCAGTGTCCTCATCTGTGCAACGAGTCTAGTAGCACCATTTCACTAGGCTGTGCGAAGCCCAGGAGATGAGCACTTGCTGCTTATCTAGACAGGGCCCAACACACGTTCAGGGTCTCCTCAGTAGGACTTGCTGGGGTTCAGGAAACACTTAACAGTGAAGCCAACAAAAGATGCAAGAATGAGGCAGGAGAAAGTGTGAGAGAATGGGGTGTGGTTGATGTGGGAGATGGTGTTTGAGTCCAAACTCAAGGTTCAAAGGAGTCGATGTCAGGTCCATGCTCTCCACAGCTTACAGCACTGCAGTCACGATTGTAGCTGCCTCCTGGAAAATCTTTCATGCCATAATTGCTTATTGAGCCCTTACGATATGCCAGGTTCTCTCTCTCTTATCTTGGGAATAGAGCAGGAACCAAAGCAGATGTAGAGATGGTCCCCATGGAGCTTATAGGCTGGTGGTACCCAAGAAACAAATAATGACATTTTGTCCCCAGCGTCACAAAGGGAACAGCAATGTTATGATAGAAAACACTAGTGAGTATGCTTGGGGGGGAGGCATGTGAGCGCCCCTCTGATGGAGGACATTTCTGCTGAGGCCACACAGAACCAGAGGAAGACCACTGTGCCAGAAGGGGCAGCGTGTGCAAAGTCCCTGGGGCAGAACTAGCTTGATGTGTTAAGTAACAGAAGGAAAGACAAGGGAGAGGAGGATAAGGGTGCTCACATGTGTGATGAGGTTGAGGGGCAGGGAGGGGCTGAGCCTGCACTGACTGAGTGCCTGCCATGTGCCGGGCACCGTCCAAGCACCTCCACATGGGTTAACGCATTCAAGCGTCAGAACCCTACGGGGTGTACGTGCTACTGCTGTCTCCATGTAGCGATGAGGAAACCCAGGTTGCAGAGCTTGAGAGCTTTGCCTGAGGTCACCCAGGGAAGAGTGGCTGAGGCCACTGAACCCCACTGAGCCTAACGGTGGCCTAAGACTCATCCGGGGTCCCCAGGGCATCCTGACTCTGGAGACTTCTGCCCCTGGGCATTGGCAGGTCGCCATATTCACTGAGTACCAGAACCCCATTCCCAGCAGAGCTACGCCCTCTACTTCCACCCAGTGGTTCCCCCACCCAAACAGATGTGGGACCCTTGGAGCCAGCCACGGGCCACCACCCTGTTCAGGATGACGGGGAGCTGCAATTCCGTTTGGGAGGAGGGACGGGGCTGGGTGTAGGGGTGACTGCGTCAGTGGACCTCAGAGCCCTGGAATCAGCCCCGGGGACCCAGGCTGGGTAGGAACCTCAGGCCTGCTGCCTGCCTCTGTGTGTGTGTGTGTGTGTGTGTGTGTGTGTGTGTGTGTGTGTGTGTGTCCCTGCACATGCGCGTGCGCACACACACGGGGAGGGGATTCATAGAGCTCTTCCACCCCAGATTTCCCCTAACCTTGGAGCCATTCAGGGACCCCCTTGGAGACGGACTCCGGCGGGGAGAGACTCGCTGGAGGTCACGCGGGCGGCGTCCTCAAACCTGGCCCAGCGGTACCTGCTCCGCCGACATTTCTCCCGCGGCCGGCAGGGGGCAGCACGACGCTGCGCCGCTGTTCCCAGTGTCCGGAGAGGTGCGGCTCTACATGCAGTTCTCCCGGGGAAACTGAGGCACGGAGCAGCACGCTGAGTGAGTGGACTAACCTATGCGTCCCACACCCTAGCCGTAACCCTCTCCTCTCCTGGACCCACTACGCCGGGCCGGCTGGTTCGGGAGCCTGCCCGACCTCGAACCCGGGAGCGGGTTGGGGGTTGTGGTCCGCGAGGCATGAGGTCTGGGGCGGTCGCCGAGGCCCCGGGACGGGAGGAAGAGGCCGCTGTGGGGTCATTACTTAAGTCCCGCCACACTCCTCAACTCCCGAGGATTCGCCCCATTATCGGAGGCGGAGACTGAGGCTGGTGGCGCTGGGTGGGGGGGAAGTGGCCCCCGGAACCTGTGCCAGGTGGGGCATCCCGTCCGCCTCGCAGTCCCGGGACCCGGCGTGGCCCCAGCGGCCCGAGACACCCCCCTCCCGCCCGGGTCTTGGCGGGCCCGCAGCCTCGCGTCCGCGCGTCCTCCACGTCGCCGCCGGGTGGCAGCATCGGCTCGTGCTCCCCAGTCCGCCCGGCTCCAGCCAGCAGCCTCCCGTTTCCCGGGCTCAGCTTCCCGTTCCATGAAATGGGGTGACATCTGGGGCGCTGGGACGCAGGGAACACTTGGGGGTGAGGCTGCTCTTGTCGTCTCACTCCTTTCTGTGCCTCCATTTCCCTGCCTGTGCTTATCTCCAACGTGCCTTTCATCTGTGAACGCTCCCTATCTGCCCCGCTCTGCACAGCTGCCCCCGCCACACCTCGGATCCAGGGGCTGAGGAACGGCCCGCGTCTGGGTCGTGGCAAAGGTTCGGGGGATTTGGAAGGAATTAAGAGGGGATCCGGAGCAGGGTGTCGAGAGGGACGGTGGGGCGCGGGAGGGAGGCAGACTCTGAGGTAAAGCCCCCGCTGGGGCTTGGCTAGGTGGGACCAAGGGTGGCTGGAAGCAACACCCCTCCCCCACCTCTGGCACTCTTTCCCCAGCAAGTCTCTAGTCTCGGCTGGTCCTCAGGGACTAAGTGCTTCCCAGTTCCATCCACTCTCCCAAGAGGCGTCCAGGTCCGTAGACATTCGGAGTGGGACAGGAGCCTGGCCAGGACAGCGCTTAGGCAGAGGGTCACCGTCCTGCCCTCTCGGAACAGACACGGCTTTGGCCAGCAGCAGGGTCTGCCTGCCCGGGTGCCCACTGCCCAGGACCGAGTCAAGTCAGACCACTCCCGTATGCGAGGCACCGCGGTGGTTCTGACCTCGCGCTCTGGGCACCGAACGTGAATACTGAGCCTGGCACTGCGGAGGGGGTGGTGCAGACTGAGGGGACCGGGGGCGGTGGGGAGAGCCGTCAGGGAGTCCTTGGGGTGGGAGCCTGCCACACAGCCAGGGAAGCCCCCGTAACCTCCTCCTATCCCTCGCCATCACGGTGCTGAGCCAAACAGCTTCTGTAGGAGGCCGTCCGAGCCACCGCCCTGCATCTGTCTGTCCCTTCCCTGTCCCTGCTTTGAGTAAGCGCCACTGGCAGCGGTAGTGACAGGTGTCGGGGGACCCTGGGCGCTGGAGGAGGGTCTGATCGAGCCCTGCGGCCTTGGCAGAGGTGCCTGGGCTAAGGGTGTGGCCCTGGTGGACCCCGTGTGGATAATTGCTGGGGGTAGGGTAAGCGTGCCCAGAACGGCGACGGGGGCGGGTGGGTGGTCTCTCCCTCCCCCACTAGAAACTGGAAGCCGAGTGGCTACCACAGCTTGAATCGGCCATTCCCCCCGGCCCCCCACCCTGGCGGGCGCAGAGGAGCGACCGGCCCCTCCGCAGGTGTCCCTTCGGTGCCGCACCCTCCCCCGCGCGGCCCCCCTCCCCGCGCACCCAACCCCTTTCCTCCCTCCCAGTCCCGGCCGGGCGATCGGAAGAGAGCCGGCCTGGGGAGGGGGTTCCGGGGGATAGATGAGTTTGTGTGTCACGGGGGAGGGAGGAGAAAAGGGAGGGGAGAGCCCGCGAGCGAGGGCGAGAGAGCGCGCGGCGAGCGAGGAGGGCGGGCGGGAGGCGGATCCTCCTACCTGGGGCGCGCTCGCACGCTCGCAGCTCGCTCGCCGGGGCCGCGAGTCACCTGCGGAGGCCGACAAGTGCGGACACATTGGCCGCCGCAGCCCTCGGCGAGGCGCGCACGGCCCCAGGCGCCTGCGCCCAGTGGAGGCAGCGCCCGCCCGCCGCGCTCGGGCCTCGGCCCCGCCGGCCCTCGTGGGGCCCCGCGGTCACACAGTCCGGCTCCGAAGTTGCGGCCCCCGGCCCAGGTCACTCCCCCAGGCGCACGCGGCGGCGGCGGCCCGGGCTCACCATGGTGGCAGCGCGCTCCGAGTGCCCGCGCGTCGCCGGCCGCCGGAGCCGCAGCGCCGGCTGAGAGCTGTCCACCGAAGCCCCCAACTCCTGCCCGTTCCTCGCCCGGCCCGCGCGTCCCCTCCGCCCGCCGCTGTCTATGGCGCAGCCCCCCTCCCTGGATCATGCACAGAAACTTTCGCAAGTGGATTTTCTACGTGTTTCTCTGCTTTGGCGTTCTCTACGTGAAGCTCGGGTGAGTAGCCCCGTGGTCGGGGCCGGTGCCCGGGATCGGAGCAGCCAAGAGGAGCCGCTTCCAGGGTGTCCCCCAGGGGACGTGGGGACCGGAAGGGGGCACGGGCAGCTCTCGGGGATCCGGGGCTGGCCTGCGCGTTGGACGCTCGCCCCGGCCCTGCAGAGACGCAGCCGAGCCCTTTGAGCTGCGGGTATGCCCGAGGGGCGCCCAGCCCAGGGTTGGAGGAGGGAGAGGAGGACGCGCGGGCGGCCAGGCTTGCTGGTAGCGGCGAGCGTGCCCGGCGCGTACTTTCACCTGTTTGGGCTCCAGGCCCCGGGGGTGGGACGCGCCTTCCCTCCCCCGGGCTGCGCTGGGCGCCGAGCCCGGGCCGAGCGCTCGCCGCCTGGAGGGCGCGCCGGGGCGGGGGGCGGGGGGCTTCGGGCGGCCGAGGGCCCCGGGTGGGCGGGGGGCGCGCACCCCGGCAGCGGGCGCGCCGGCCTGGGCACCCGCCACGGCCCTTCGTCTCTATCCATCACCCGGACGTGTTGAAATTACCTTGACAACTCGTCCGGCTGGCTCGGGAGGGCCGCGCGGGCGGCCCGGCCGCTTCGGGCTCGGTCCGGGCCCCGCGCCCCCGCCCGCCCGGGGCCCTCGGCCGGGCCCCCTCTCGCCGCGCTCCCCCTCGCGCGGCCCGGCGGGCGGGCGGGCTCCCGGCGGGCCGCGCTCGCTGCTTGAGGCAGTAGCTGCCCCGAGTCGTATTTCCACATTCCTGAACCCAGCCGAGTCCTTACCTGTTGAGCTGCGATCTCCTTTAGACAGAATCTGTCTCGGCCTCGCTCGAAGCGGGGGTGGGCGGGGAGTGTGACCGTGAGGGGCGGGGGCGCGGTCCGCCAAGCCCGGGGGGCCCACGGCTCCGCGCCCCGACGCGCTCTGCGCGCCTACTGTGCGCCGCCAAGGGTGGGCGGCGGGGGCGGGGGGGGGGAAGGCAGGCCCGGTCCCGGCCGCGGGCAAAGCCGGTGAACAGCCCCGAGGGAGGACCGGCGCCGGTGCCGCCGGCCGAGCCGCGGCCTCCCAGGCAAAGAGGTAGAAGCAGACCTGAGAGTAATTTCATCTGTTGCCTCTCCATCCAGCGCCTCCTCCGCCATTTTACAGATGGAGAAACTGAGGCCCAGGGCCGGCAGGGACTGAGGCCAGCGGCCACACAGGCAGGGCTGGAAGCTCCCTGTCCTAGCCTCAGCTCTGCAGGCCTGGGCGGGCGTGTCTGCGGCTGCTGGTGGCACTGTTTATTGTGGGTCTGTTGTAGGCTGTGTCCCTGGGTGTGTGTTTATGGGAGGTAAGGGTGCAGTGTGTTGAGTCTGCTGGGGGGTGGGGGTGGGGAGGGAGGCACTGTTTTCTGGACCCTCCAGGGTCCAGAACCCTCCTGCAGTTACTCCCCCTGTGCCCCCTCATGTGATAGGCACCCCCTAATGAGGCTTGCCTTGTGCTGCCTGGTTCTCAGCACTGAGGCCTTGCCGCCTTCTAGCTGTGGAGGTGAGTGCCTTTACTCTTCCCGTTTTAAGGACTAGGAAGCGATGCAACAAGGGAGGCCAAGTCACTGTGCACAAGGGTAAGCGGCGGAGCTGGGACGTCCGCCTCTGGCTGCCCTGCCTAACACCAGCTCCTCAACAGGAGTCCTCTGCAAGCACCCCTTCCCCCGGCTGCAGGAAGAACTCTGTGGATCCACCCCCACCTCCCCAGCCCGGGACTGTGGAAGGAGCTGAAGGCGGTGCCCGGCCTGGGCTCCCAGGACTGGGGCCAGGGCTCGAGGTGGAAGTCAGCTCGGGCAGGTTCCCCCTCGCCTATCCTTCCTGAACCTCCTCGTTCCGCTCTGTAAATGGGACCGCAGCTCTGGCCGTTCTCAACAGGATGGTGGCCAGTGTCTGAGTAGAGAGAACCCAGTGAGTGAGACCCAGCCCGTGTGCCCAGGCACCTGTGCCAGCCTCTCTGGGAGCGCGTGAGACAGCGAACCAGAGCTCGCTGAGCCTTTCTGTCCTCTGCCCCACCAAGGAGCCCTGGAGGGGGGACTCCTCCCCCGGCGTGCCCCCTAAAACATATATTCTCCCAGTCCCAGGGGGAGAGAAGACATGGCCTCCAAACACCGCTGTGGAATTCCATCCAGGAAAGCCAGAGAGTCAGCCTGGGACCTGCCAAAGAGAGGGAAGGGGAGGGGAGGGGAGGGGAGGGGACTCAGGGGACTCAGCCCCTGTCACCGCCACATTGGTGGTGCCTGTACTGGAGTGAAGGGGCCTGCTTTCTTTGCAAGCCATCTTGGCTACACAAGGTGGGGAGAAGGGGCAGCTGGGCCAGATGTAACCTAAGGGTTAAATGACTTGGAAGCCCAGTTCCTAAGGACAAGGCTTGGGGATCCAACCTCCCCCTCACTCCTCACTGGGTGGCTTTGGGTGAGCTCTTCAACTTCCCAGCCCACATTCCCTCGTCTGAAACATGGGGTAGCGGTAGCCCCTTCTTCACTGGCTGCTGGGAAGGTTAATCCTGAGGGCCTTTGATCTGGGGGCGTTCCAGTAAAGTCGACCTTTTCTTATTGGTAATGATATCACATCCACTGCAGGCACCTGGGGACTCCTCCAGATAGTGTATTCCAGGGCCCTGGCGAATCCCAGGACATGGGATTTTAGGATCATAAAAGTTCCAAGGAAATATCTTGAGATTGTATGTACTGGGGGACTCTTCCGTGATCACAGCCCCTCCCCCCACCCATACCCCCATGATTATGAGATTGTATGTATTGGGGGACTCTTCCGTGATCACAGCCCCTCCCCCTGCCCATACCCCCATGATTATGAGATTGTATGTATTGGGGGACTCTTCCGTGATCACAGCCCCTCCCCCCGCCCATACCCCCATGATTATGAATGTCCAGGAGCAGCTTCCCTCACCCCCACGTCTACACGTGCAGCTCCCATACACACATGCCCCTCAGCCCGGGTGCCAGTGCAGATGTGCCGCCTCTGGGGGAGCCCCTGGGCCGGCAGGAATGGAGAACTCAGCCCTTGAAACCTTCTTGCGGATCGGGGCTTCAAGAGCAGATGCACCTTGGATTGGGGCGGTTTCAAAACGCATGGCTTTGAGGAGGCACAGTTCCTCACTTTGGAACTGAGCAGCCTCCAAGCTGCAGCCCTGGAGGAGGCCGAGCCGGGGCCGCGAGGAACCATCTGGAGTCTGGGTACCCTCTGCGCACTGGAGCTGGGGTCATGAAGCCTCAGGATGAGCCTTGCTCCATGACCGCCTCCTGCTCTTGGGGTTCAGGAGAGGCAGAAGGGCCCAGAGGGGTGAAGGTAGGGGAGGCGGCCCCCCTCCTCCTGGATGCTGGGGACCAGTCTCCATGCCAGGTCTAGGAGCCAGGAAGTCCACTCCCTCGGGGGCCCCTGGCCATATTGCACAGACCTCTCCTGTCTTGTCACCTTCCCTCTTTGTGCCTTCACTCCTGCTTAAGGGATCTACACTGCATCTAGAGAGACATTCATATGTAGCCTGGCTTGGCGGACAATAGGAGGTGGGACTCAAAGCCTTGTGCTTTGGGCTTTAAAAAGATCACTGGAAGGAGGATTGTTCAGAGAAGTGTGTTCTTGTGGGTGTGCTCCGCCCCACACCTATCCCAGCCAACCCCTCAGAGGAGAGTAGAGGAAGTGAGGTGGGGGAAGCCAGAGTTGGGGGCCTCTATGCACTTGTCGGGGGTCTCCAACAAGTGCGCAGCCTGTCCAGAGAGACTCAGAGGCAGGACCCTGCAGAGACGCCGGCGCGCGGGTGCACTGCTGAGCCCTACCACGCTGGGCCTGGTTGGCCACGGCAGTGAGTGCATGCGACCCACAGCCAGTGTCACAAAAACCCAGGGGCGCACGCAGGCAGAGGCTCAGCGAACACAGTGCATTTGGGCGCACATACCTGCGGGCTCACAGACGCGCCCACGCTCCCGCAGTCACGCGCAGACTCATGCAGGCACGTGCACGCACACAGGAGCACACATTGCGGAGCGCAACACCCAGGAGGAGCGCACGCCCCCGCGTGGTTCTCCCGCGGTGCCTCCCCCCAGGTGCACCCTGCAGAGCGGGCCAGAGCGGTGTGGCTGGTTGAAGTTGGTGGTTGGGGGGATTGTCCGAGCCAAGGCGGTTTGGGCAAGCCCTGGAGGCGGCTCCCGCCGCACGCTTCGGTCAGCCTCCCCTTTAAAAAACCCGCCCGCGGAGGAGGCGGATGTAGGGGTGGCCCGTCCAATGGCAGCCGCGCGCCTCAGGAGACTTGAAGACGTGAGCCAGAGCGAGCGACAGAGCTGGTTCCGACCGATCGACGGACGGAGGGCCAGACGGCGGCCGAGGCGCACTCGCTGCCCACTGCCCTCTCGCCTCCCGGCACTCCAGCCCCAGCGCCCGCCGCAGCCCCAGCCCCAGCGAGATGCGCGGCCCTGGAGGCGGGGCACGGGCGACCACTGCGCCGGGGCCCGCGCGCTCGGGTCCCTAGCGCCGCGTTCCGCCGCCCTACCTTGGGAGGGCCGCGGAGACCCCGGCCTCAGCTGGCCCACGCGCTCTGCCCGCGGGGCCTGCGCAGCCCCGCCAGGAGCGCCGGCCCATCATGCTCCTGCTGTCGCCGCGCAGCGCGCTCCTCTCCGTCTATTGCCCGCAGATCTTTCTCATCCTGTCCAGCGGCAGCTACCTGTGAGTGCCGCGGGTCACACGCGGGGTGGGCGGGTGAGGGGCCCCCCTCCCTGGGCTCCAGCACTGGAACTGGGCGAGCAGGGAACGCGGCAGTGAGGTCCCTGGGCGGGGCGCCGGGTGCCCGGCGCGCGCGGGAGCGGGGGTACTGTGGGTCTTCCAGCCGGCCCAGGCCGCCGAAGTTGAGCAGTTGGGGGCCGGCTGAGGCAGTGAGAAGCTCTGGCCTTGAGGTCAGGGAAAGGGTGGCCCGTTGGAGGCCTGACGGCGCCGGTAGACCTGGCTGCGCGCACGGAGCGCGAGGGCCGGAGGGCGCGCGGG